TTAAGTCCTTATTTATTATAATGTCATACAACTATTAATGAACTACAATATAATGGCATTGACCAGGAAATTTCTTTTGCATTCAGACAAAAGCATGATATAATGCTAAATTAATCAACATCATAATTGCCATGTGTTACCTGTTTAATGGATTGATATACATGCATTTGGTTGGCTTCAGTATTTAAAATGTTTGGTAGTTGACAAAATCCTTAGATTAATCCAATGCATATCTGATATTATATATATATATATATATGTATATGTAAAAGGAAAAAAAAGATGCACCAAATCCATCTAATCCACCCATTGTTTTGTTGATTTTGTTTTTAATTCTACCCATATTGGGATTTTCTTAATGGGTAATTCTCTTGTATATTCTATGATCATAAATTTCAGATTTCTTTCTTTTTAAGTAAATTTTACTGTAATTTTTTTCTAGAATTATTGAATTTATTTTTGACCTAAGTAATTAATTTTTAATCTATGTTTTAATTAAGTAATTGCCATGTGTTGTATATAAATAATTATATATATATATGGTAAGTTATTTTTTGAATGATTGAATTTATTGTTGAGCCAATTAATTAATTTTTAATCTACGTTTTAATTAATTAATTGGCATGTGTTGTATATGAATAATTATATATATATATATAGTTAAGATATTTCTTGAATTATTGAATTTATTATTGACCTACCTAATTAATTTTTTATCTATGTTTCAATTAATAAATTGGCATATGTTGTATATGGACAATTATTTATATATAGTTAAGATATCTCTTGAATTATTGAACTTATTGTTGACCTAACAAAATTAATTTTTAACCTATTAATTAATTCTCATATATTGAATCAGTCTGATTCTGAGTTTTTTTTTTGAAAAATCCAGCCAGGTTAACATCATGTTCAAATTAATGAAGCAATTCCCTAAGTTTGAAATCCTCATATAATAGTGTAGCTTGAATTTTAGATTATAAATTTATGTATATTTTATAAAATTTTGTGAGACGGTCTTATCTTATCCATAAATATAAACACAGTATCGAACCATCTTATTCAGCTTTTACTTCGTTATGATCGTGTGCGATTTAAGAATTAACTTCCCCAACAAGTGCATATCGGATTCGGATTTTACAAAATGAACTCCAAACTTAAAACTCTTTAGATTTTAGGAAATCAGTTCGAAACTCAACACCCATCCAACAGATATATCATACAACATAGATATTATTTCAGCATACAGAAAACCAGGCCATATGGAACAGAAACTCATAAAAGCAATCTCCAAAACAAACCACCATCGTTAAATAACTCAAAATCTTACACTGAGAACACAACATTTTAATCCTCTTTTCCCAAGAGGGTGAGCAGGAAGTGCTTGTAGTCCCCTGTGGTGTCCTTGGCTACAGCATGCTCGAGCAACTCACTGTTTTTCTTGTAATAAAGATCTTTGATGTCCTGCAAGTCCTTCTCAGCTCTCGTAACGATTACACGGGTCAATGCATCCTCATCAGTACCAATCTTTTTGATCGAATTGCGCAGCACCTGTTTCACATGAATCCATGGTGCGTGTTTTAGTATATCACAACTTGTCTTTGGTGGATATGCTTAGTATATGCATAAAGGTATTACCTTCTCAAAGTACTTTATCGGGTCAACAAGGCATCGAATGGCTGTATAAAGCAGCACTGCAAGCTCATTATCTGATTCGCCCAACAATTCCTGGATAAAGAATAAAGAGTTAGGAGTTTATATTCAATTCAAGGAGCTGAGCATTTTCAGCTACTGATATGAGTCATGACTCATAAACAACTTGAAATAGTTTTTACAAATTTCTGCATTGTTGGTACCTTTGTGATGGAAGTACCAGGTTCTTCTCTATAGCGGTTGAAAGTTGCCAAGAGCTGTGGCTTGCTCCTTGTACTCACAATTCTAACAACTTCTTCGTGATTATATTCCTTGTCCTTTATAACATCACGAAGAATATCAGCTTCCGAGTTTGCCAATCTTCCATCAACCTCTGTCCCATCATACCTAAATGCAGTCACCAAGGCGACCAAT